TCGAAATGAAGGTCCCCCTAACAATGTTATGTCAGGAGATTCATCGAAACCAAGTTTCTCTTCGTATCTACAATGAAAATGTAATTATGGCCAGGCTCTGCTTGTCTCGAATGTCAAATCTGCTCCATGGCTGACTGGCATCCGTGCTTACGCAGTGGAGTGGCAGCATCGCTGTGCTGCTCACTACCTCGGTTCGAATCCCGTTGACGATGAGGCGGAGCCGGGATGAGATAGTCTGCCTGCCGTTTCGAGGCTCTGACTCCAAGTTTCTGTCGATGACACTCGAGCCCACCTCAGATTGCCAACAAGTGATCCGCGGCAGGAGTTATTTGTCGAAGTTGCACAGGACGAGACAGGAAAACGAAATCTGCATGCCATCTTGCAAAGAGAGAGCCGACTGTCGCCATCCCAACGGAAAGTGGAGAGAGTCGGCTTCACGGGCCGACCATGTGGAGTGGAGGTTGAAACACCTTTCATCAAATTGTGCATGCAGCCTGATAGGGTCAGGGTGAGGTCAGATCTGCAGTAGCATTGTCGGATCAGCTTTTCAATGACCTTGTATCATGTCTTTTGGGCAATTTTCGCCCCAATGTCGGGGCCGATTGGGTTGGGCCTAAAACTGCCCAAATTCTCTCGGCTTGGCGGATTCCCCATTCACCGGAGCTGGAGGCGCTATCATTTCGGCCTTTGTCTATCCAACTTACGCGAAGCCGTCTTGAGGCTGTTGACAAGCCGAGTGCGGTCGCCCTCCTCTGAAAGACTGTGGCTCTTGACTGAGAGGCTTAGTCAGCGTGACTGGCTTAAGGTGAGTAAAGTTTGATGGTCAATTTCCCCACCAAGAGAATGGAAAATCTGGAATCCGCTTCAGCAAATCATAAGGTATTAAATAAGTCTGAACTTTGAGCAAAATAGCGACAATTTTTGGGAAAAACCCTCTTCATATATGCGAAGAAAAGTTGGGTTTTGATGAATTTCTTGTTTCATAATTGTTAAGCTTACTTTAATTTCGAGTAAAAGTGTTGGGTAAAGAGATTCGAAGGTCGATTCCACCGGAAGACGACGGCGGTCGATTGGCTTTACTGGAACATTCATGCTGACGCTGTTTCCGAGGCAATATTCTTCGATTCCGGTGAAAAGGTGCTAAGCTTTCGTCCGTCATGAGACGAAGACTATCAGAGAAAGGTAACATCGTCACAAAAAAATTCAAGCTAACGAGTCAAGAAAACTCACCGGCAAATCCCTAAAAAGTGGTATACATACTCTACATCACCTTTTGGATCAAGTCTAAAGTGATTTGGTTAGTTAAGGTCATATGTCAACTTCGATGCAGTGAAGAATTCATATGAATTTGCTAGATTAATAGGTCAACAAAATGTTAAAGAGGAGGATCTTTTGAATAGAAGTTGTTTGACCTTGTTTTCGCAACTTGTCTCTTTGACGAGTTGTTGTGTGGTGCTAAGAATGGCTATACTCACTGACGATGCCGACTACGA